ACCTGAACATCTGCGAGGTATTTTTTAGTGTACTCTGTTCATATTGCCCGTTGACATGAGATTCCTCCCACGTCTGACGTGAGAAGGGACAAACACAGCAACAACGGAATTAGCCACTTAAAAAAAACCAAAACCAAACATTTTTTGTAAGATGCCAACGGAACAGAGCTTCAGATACAAGCACCCATTCCAAACCCGACACTTCAAACAGAATTTTATGACCTGCCAACTCATGCTTTTAACAAATGTAAAGATACTTACAGACCCTGGCGGCCCATGCTGAGGAAGCAGGGAGGTTTCTGATGGCGTGGGTCAGCATGGAACTCATTTTGATGTCTAGAGAGCTGGAGAAAGACTGATTTTAGTCCAGTCTGGTCTGTTTGGAACAATTTCAAGCTAAGCCACCTGCTTGCTTCACATAAAGCCAAAAAAGCAAAGAAAGAGAAGACACCCCAAGTGCAGCAGCACGGAGAATTACTTCCTACTACACTTTTTGAACAGCATCTAACACACGAGGAGTCTGGCTTATGACTGTGGCCTGCAAACGTTCCTGTAAATAAATACCCATCTCCCCAGGGACCCAGCATTGTACTCACAGAGGCCAGCGCAGTTTTCAGTTCCCCTCCCAATGACTGCTCCACCACCTCCTCGCTGGAAAACTGTCCCAGCGCCCAGCCAACCTCGCCGTCAGCGTGACTCTCCTGATGCACTCTCCCTGGCACAATTTCACAGAACCACAGAATGTTTGGGGTTGGCAGGGACCTCTGTGGGTCACCCAGCCCAACCCCCTGCCCAAGCAGGGTCACCCAGAGCAGGGGGCACAGCACCATGGCCAGGCGGGGCTGGAATATCTCCAGAGAAGGAGATTCCACAACCTCCCTGGGCAACACTACCTTTGTTTTAAGTGTTGATGTTAACCTCAGTAACTCCCGTTCCGCATCCCCACGGGAAGCAGAACAAGATGGCATCCGCTACCCTGAAAACTTCCTCTGAAGCATTCCCAAAGCTCATTCCAAAACAGGGCTTCCCTACAAACCAACCCCTGCATCTGCGGGTTTTATTGCCCAGGGCAAAAAATGGTCCTCGCAGCTCCAGTTCTTTGGCTGCTTCACGTTCACCTTACATTGTCACACTTCTAGCGTTCAAGCCAACACCACTCTCCCTCCCAAATACGCACATTTTCTCTAGAGAGTTCTGGAAACCCCTTGCAGCCCCAAGCCCAGCCCACCCAGGTATCGCAGCTCTCCACAGCTTCTCAAAGCTCAGCGCAAGCTACCAGCCACCCCCTTCCACGTCTACATCTCACACCCCACAGCTCTGTGCCTGCGCCACGCCACGCAGCATTCCCCATTCCCCAGCCCGCTCCGGCTACGCTGGCATCCCGCAAACCAAAGCTGGGCTCCTCATGTCAGTAAAGGTCCAGAAAACGGAGCTCCTCCTCCCCGGCACAGAATCACCATTTCACAGAGTCATGGAATGGTTTGGGTTGGAAAGGACCTTATAGATCATCCTGTTCCAACCCCTGGCATGGGCAGGGGCACCTTCATCTTGACCAGGTTACTCTATCTGATTTTGAACACGTCCTGTGATGGATCATCCACAACATCCGCCTGTTCCAGTGCCCCACTACCACCATTGTAAAATAATTTTTCCTTATATCCAACGTAAATCTACCCTCTTTCAGTTTGAAGCCATTACCCCTTGTCCTATCACCCCATGCCCTTGTCAAAAGTCCCTCTCCAGCTTTCTCGCAGGCCCCCTTCACACATCGTTCCCTGTATCGTCTCTCTGCACAAGCGCTCTTCCTCCATCTGTCCCGAGCTCCCTCCCCACACCCCACTGAAGCTTTTCCCCAAATCTTCTCTGCCCAGCTGATGAGACTGAGCCTCTCCAGCTGCCCAAACCTGCCTCGCCGCCCTCACCCCCCACAACCCA